CATTAGCTATATTGAAGGACAAATTTTGCATTACATAATATTTTATAAAATCGTATAAAATTTTGTAGAATTTCATAGAAATAAAATAAAATGTAAAAAGATTCGTTTAATGTAATACAATATTTTTAATTTATCGGAATCTCTTTTTAATAATTTGTACTTATCACTTTTCAATGTTTTTTACTTTTTCAATAGTAGGTACAATAAAAATCACATATTTAATAAAAAAATCTAAAAAAAACTATAAATTTAACTTTAACCTTAAATAAATTTTAAACCAGTGAATTTATCAAAAAATCATAGGAAAGCCTTTTTGTACGTTTAATTTCCTAATGAAATAAAATTTAAAGCAAAAACAGATTCACGGAGGATAGAATCAATTTTTGTAACACCAACATAAATGGTTATAAAAATTATTTCTTTTAATTTTTAATAAAATTTTATATTTGACTCGATTGCTTTGGATGTGTTTAATTTACTTAGTGAACTGATATTTTTACTACCTCAGATATTTTAAAACATATAGGTTTAACTAGAAAGAGTAACAGTTACGGAGGATAGGTTTTAGACTAAAAACATTGTAAAAATTATTAATTTCGTTTAAAAATCTGGAACCTGAGCTGTAATATCTACTTAATTATGAAATATATTATGCTTGTTCTGTTTATTGTTCCTGGATGTCAGAATGAAACTTTTATTCACCTTGTATAATAAAAATAGGTTTTAAGTATAAAAATAATTGGTTTTTGGCAATCGCAAAACTATTTAGAAGTATTTAGACGACTTCGTATAATGAATGAATTGAAAAGGTATACATTACCATTATAATTTAGCGATTCATTGATTCGATTATTTGAATAAGGAAAAGTACTGAAGTGCGCTCATTATAGGCAAGACTGTTTCTCAAATCAGATTGCTGTTTGGAGTCGAGATTATCTTGGCTCTTTTAAATATCAATTTCAACCGTTCACACCTCATTAAATTTCAATTTTACAGCTATTGTCCCATCTGGGTTACATGCTACGGCTTCTGCTGCTTCCTCCTTCTTTTAGTGGCATGCATCAGAAACCCAAGCACGAAGACACGCGTATTTTACTGCTCCTCGACTAATTATATTTTCCGATCTCTCAAAATACTTGCACAACAAATCCCCCTTTATCTTGTTCTATTCCCGTCTATTCGCAACTTTTAACTCATTTTCCTATCAACGTCTAAAATAAATTTGTAAATCGATTTGTGTTTTTTTAATTATATTAATTTTGCACAGGAAATATTTCAGATGTTTTTATTAACATCCATCCTACAATGTTTCATCACCTTAAAGTGGTATAATTAAAAAGTACTTAAAGGTAAAAAAGCATAGGATCATGTATAATAAAACGCCTTACAAATGCTAAGTAAGGGAAACAATTAGAGATAGATGTCGGGGTAACGTTAAAACAATGAAAATCATTAATCATTTTGCATGACTCTTAGCGCCTTTCTCTACACATTTCGGTTATACTCTAACCCAAAATTTCCCATTACAGTCCGTTTCCACACTTTTTAAGTGTTTGTGTTATTTCTATTCATTATTTTAGAATATCTAGTTATTTGTATTTTAAATGAAAATAAGTCCTTTTGAAATTAATAAGTAAGTCAGGAAGTAACCAAATCAAAAAAATGGGTAAAATCAAAATAAATTTTAATATTATTTTGTTAAATGAGTTTGACCTACCCTTTTATTGTGTTTTCATCTTTCATAATTAAAGAGGATATGACAGCTCAGGTTCCAGATTTTTAACCGCAATTAATTATTTTTACAATGTTTTAAAAGTCTAAAACATATCCTTCGTGACTGTTACTCTTTCTAGGTTAACCTATATGTTTTCAAATATCTGAGGTAGTAAAATATCAGTTCATGAACTGATATTTTACTACCTCAGATATTTGAAAACATATAGGTTAGTGCACTAAGTAAATTAAACACATTTACAGCAATCGAATCAAATATAAATTATTATTAAAAATTAAAAGAAACAATTTTTATAACCATTTATGTGGTTGTTACAAAAATTGATTCTATCCTCCGTGAATCTTTTTTTGCTTTAAATTTTATGCAACGGATGGCGCTTTAATCATTTTAAATAAGCAAAAACCTCTGTTTACGACATTATAGATGTATTTGATTCCTGAAGGTCAGTTAGAATTTATATGCAGATAAGAGTGTTGCTGTTTTAAAATTCGAAAGTTTAAGTTCATTAATTTGCCATTTAAAAACCTATCCACCGTGAAGTATAATATCTCAGTAAGTAGATTTTTTTATAAATATTGTATGTATGTACAATTGTATTTTTAAAAAATATTAAGGTGTCAAAAGATACAATAACTTATTTCGAATATACAAAGGGATGTTTTAAAAAAATCCTAACCTCCGTGAAGCTCTAATATTTATGATTTCTTAAAATTCTTGCATAAGTGCAGAACCACTTATGTTTTGTTATTACTAGACCTGGTGGCTAGAAGCAACTTTTGTAAGAAACCTAAAACAAAATGGATATTTTAAATGTAAAAATCAAGAAACGTAATGTTAGAAAATAATTTAAACCCTTGGGGATGTTAATAAAATTTCTAATTATGTTACCCCATTCTTCTAAAGTTGTTCTAAAGTTTTATACTTAATTAAATTAAACCTAGTTAAAATTGTTTCCTGGGTTATTGAAATACAATTCAGGTGGCACCAGAATACAGTGAATGGATATCATTTGGTGAAATCTATAGATTAACTAAGGAGAATAAAATAAACTGCGCAAAATTTTGATTAGTTCGGCGTTTGGAGTATAGACGGCGCGGATTTTAGTTATTGACGTATAGGGCGCATAAAGTGTTTTAGCTATTGCCATATAGATAGCGCAATGTGTAAGAAAATCCCCTATTTAAATTTGTTGGGTTTAATATAGAATAAAGGTAAAATTATTAGTTTAAAATAAAACCAAAAATACTTTGTATAAATGTTTATTGATTTCTTATTGTCATTAGTACTTGAGGTAAATATAGATATAATATTTTATACAATACAATACAATACACTGATTAAATACATAACAGAATTATCAATAACATTTTTATTACACATTTCTAATCTAAAAACGTGATTGTTTACCAATTTGATTTTACCAATAAAAAACTCCTACACACTAAAATTTATTGTTTTATATTTTCTTAACACTTAATACTTAAAAACTAATTAAATATAATAATAACTCATAAAAATTTCAAAAATTATTTATTGATATTATATTACATTTTAACTGCTACAACTTTTAGTTTTAACTGCTCTCTACCAGATACTATGTTCTAAAGATTACCCTCTTTAATAAATATACATATTTTTTGCCTTTATATATGCGAGATTTTATTTTTAAAATCTTCCATATACAGGGTGATGAATCATATGTGATGCTTTAGCTCATAAACCCTGTACGATATTAAATAAATAAGAACACAAAAACAAATCAATAAATAATTTATGAGATTCCAACAATATAACATGTCATAACATTAAAAATAAAGCACCTTAATTTTATAAATGAACTAAATTATTTTAGACAGGGTGATTCATCTAACAATTTATTTATTTAATATGAAACTCCCTGTGTAATTAATTCGGAAGACATTAAGGATTTTTCCACGTTAATTTAAAAATTAATGTTTTGTTATTTTTCAAAACATTTTGATTGGTACTTGATATTTTTCTTTAATATCTATTGTCCTTAAAAATAATATTATATTGTCAATACTTCGTGATATATACACTTACAGGATTTAAACAAATAAAACAAACTTTATTTATTTAACAAAATATTTCTTTGTTTGGTGATATGAAAAATTTGGGACTGGATATGTGGCACTGATACTTTTATTGTCAACATTGGTACCTATTATTTCTGAAAACTTATTGTCCTTAAAATATAATTTGTTAAATATTTAAAGAAGATATTTTGATCTAAAGGGAAGACTTATGATATGAATTTTACAATACATAGGGTGGGAAAAAAACAATATAATACAGGCAAATTAATACTGTATTTTTTCACCTTCTAATGTTCCCATTTATAAAAGCTGAATAAGACTGGGTTAACTTTTTGATAAAATAAATAAGAATAGTCTGTATATTTCAGGAAGACTCCAGAACAGTTTAACATATTTTTCGGTATTTTAGTGGGCACAAGGTGTGGGGCATTAGCTGTATACGTGGTGTTAAGAAAAAATAACGGAGTTTTTCCTGAATTTATGCAACTAGATAACACGTGAAAGTAGTACCGGTTGCGTTAAGCATTTTTTTACCTATTTTGATTATCCCACATTTTTTCCTGGTAAAAAGCCCTTTCTGCAAAAAAAAACACGTCAATTCGGTTTTCAAAAAAAACATAAAAAGAGTTAAAAAAAAGTAAAAAAATATTTTATAAAAGTGGCCCATAAAATATCTCTATGCAAAAAATCTATCGCATTTATAATTTTAGTAAGAATTTATTTCACATAAACTATAAAGTTTTAAATACATGCCCCATATATTGTTCCAACTACAGTACAGAGAATGTGGTTATATTAAACCTGCTTATTTTATGGAACCCATGTCTCATTTATAGACTTTCTTTAATATATTGAGTTGTTTCTCGAACATTTCCTAAGATATAATATACATATATTTTAATACAATAGTTATATCAACCCTTATTAATTTTTTATGTATTAATAACTGATATACATAGAATTTATAATTTAATAAGAGTCAATAGGTTTTATTTTAGACTAGATACCGTTAACTTTTTAAAATTTAAAAAGGCTAAAATAGGTTTTGTTTTTGGGGTTTAAAAATCAGTCATACCCAAAATTTTCAAATCCTTATTCAGTAAAACGTTTGGCAATTCATCGGGTTTCGTCATCCGGGAACGTTTTCACGGGAACGTTTTTCCGTGAACGTTTCCCGGGAATGTTTTCCCGGGAACGTTTTCAGGAACGTTTTCCCCGGAACTAACAAACCAAGTTAGTAAGTAGGCTAAGGTTTAGATGGTGAGTGTAGCTAGTTTTAATTAAAAGAAAATATTGCCATTTTATATCTTACTTACGATTTTTCGATGGCTAAAAAATGAATATATATATAAGCTATTTTAGCCTTTTTTATACACTTATAAATTATATGCCTCTATACATGGTAAACAATCGAAATACAATGAATGCAGTAGTACTAAAATAACAATTATAGTTGAATCTTATTCCGGCATTAGTGCGTTGTATAGTTGTCCAAGATGGCGATTTGCTCGCGCTCGGGAACGTTGTTACATATGGCGGCAAAGTTTTCGCTTCTGGTAGCAAAAGCGTCGTTGATTCGTGCTCTTCCGGTTGTCCGACCTCGCCGTTTTCCTTTTTTTTGTTCTTCCATTTTTTCGGTTTTTCCTTATGCGGTGGTTTTCTTGGCTTTGTTTCGATGTACTTTGGAGTGCTTGCCGTACTTGTCGATTTCACTATCAAATGCAATTCTAAAACACGATTTCAGTATTCGTACATTTCTTAGGGAACGTTGGAAACAATAGTTTTTTTTAGGAACGGTATTTTAGGATTACAAAATTATGATAACATTAATTATAATACCTTGTAGTCTAACGACACCCTCGGTTTTGCCCATTGCGTTTACTGAATGACAAATGTATCCTCCAAAATCTCTTCTTTCAAGTCTGCGTATAGTCAGGTTCATTAGTAACGAATAGTCGGTAAGAATTGTTTCTTCCATGTTGTATTTTTCGTTTGGAATGAGTTTTTCACCTAAAAACAGTTTATTAATAAAACTAATTTTGGCAAAGGAGTTTGGCCAGGAACTAATTATTCATGGATTTCGTGAAGCCTTTGAAGTCAGGTGTTGAGGTTAAAAAATGAACCTGGCGAGAGCCCATTCTTCTTCTTTATTATTTAAAATATTAAACCAGTTTTTATTTGTTCTTTTCCACTTTGACTCTAATCTACTATCACAGACTAAAAATGAGGTTCCACTCATGAAGCCCGTTTTCTAAAAGTATTGTAGCTCTATGGAGTTTTAAAAGAAAGTTTCTTGTTTTATTCCCACATTTTTTATTAATTGAAATGAACATGGTTAGTTAGTCTCTAACAAAGTTGTTATCATGTTGAAGATATAATCATAATCATAGCTTTGAGTGAAGAGTATATCTTCAATCAACGATCATAGGGAAAGGACATTTTCCGTTATAAATAGTGAAGTTTAAATCTTTGAAATAAATTTCTCGTCGTTTGTTGTGTGTTTTTAACGTGGTTGCGTAAATAAAGCAAGACGATTTGAATTACGAGCGTTAAGGACCATAAATTAGATTAAGCTTAATAAATAAAGTAAGTGAATGGGCAAGCTGTCACGGTTTCTCTAGCCTCTCTAATTTGAAATGTGTAGGTAGCGTATACGCTGGTAGGTACAGGGGTTTATTAGACTATACTATACGGCAGCCAAAATCCCAAGTCACAGGGGAGAGATGCTTACCGTTGTCCCTCATCCAGTGGTTCATGGCTTTCGGTGAAGCTTCAACGTAACACTGCACCAACACGTCGCTGTCGATTGGCGCGGCCACCAGCTGATTTGACACTCTGATCAACGGCTGAACTGAAATTTAAACATTTTACATTTATTTTTGAACAAAATATTTTTAATGGGATACTTACAGTGCACCCTGACAACAAATCTCTTGCTTACTGAAGGTGGAACGCCGTTGCTTGCAATGCAAAAGTAAGAACCCATGTCTGTACGTTGTACGTTAGCCAACGCTAATGTATCTCCATCGAAAGTTTTTGAAACTAAAATACAAAGGCAACTTGAATAAAATTAAATTCTTTCATCAAGTTAGGTGGTATTATTAATCGAATACAAAAATGTTGAAACATCTTACAGCTCGTTGACAAACTAAACAAGCATTGTTAATGATTAGAGAATTTTAATTTATAAAAGTTTGATATAACAACGTAAAACATATCTTTTTAATGAGGTATTCGTTAAAGAAGGTAGTTCTTTTTTGGGGTAAATTATTCTTTGTATATCAAACAAAACATCAGATTCATATCTGTTTTCCTCACTGTGCAGCGTTTTGCAGTCAATGCAAGGAAAATAGCAGTTTAGGGGCGAAAGGGGGTAGACAAGGGAAAGCGAAGAGGAATGAAAAGGGGAACTCTGGCATCAAACAAAAGTCTAGCGCCCGAGGAAGCTGAAAAAAATATAAAGAACCGCAAAGGAATTTTCGAACTAAATAAATATTTACATAATAATAAAACTGTGTTATGTTCTAATTGGAAGTATTTAGTATCTCGACAAACAATTTGGTTCTATTAACGTGCTTGTCTAATCTAATCTATTTCAAGCATTGATTTACGTGTGAGAAAACTATCAAAACTATATAAGCAATATCAGCTCTCAACAAGCACCGTACTCGTCAAAGCAAAAATCATTATTATTACTGTGCTTGAGTATCTTCAGAAGTGATCTCGAAATTTGTTTGATGTTGCTGCAAAAAACGCTCTGACTAAATTAAAGACTGTTGACGAAAAAGTTTTCCTTCAAAAGCAAAGATAAGATTTTTCAAGTAGCACGAGTGGTGCTAACCTTAAGACTACAGCAAAGAGAAAAAAAACGGAAAGAAAACGAAAAAAAAAAATATGGACAATTGCACAACTATCTTCCCTTCTTCTGGTTTCTGTGAGATAATAAAGTAAAGCTCTACTTCCTATAACGATATTCAGCTTTTAGCATAAGTATTAAGTATATTTTGGTAGTTTCTTTCAAAATTTCTGAAGTATATTTTATGTACATCATCTGTCAGAATAAACGTTGCACACTTTCCTGTGTAACTTTCCCACAGTGTCTAGAGGTCACCAGGCAGCCAATTGAAAGAATAAAGACAAATGTTTAGTTGGACTCTCGAACCATTTGCCGAACATAAATGCCACTAGCAAAGCTTGTTTTTGGCCGGTTTGTGATGGAATATGTCATTTTGAAAAATTAATACGTCTCAAGTCGAAATCTGTTTGATTCTATTCTTAAACCATTGTGCGGAGCAAACAACACACAAAAATAACTCGTATGTAATTACGTATCGTAAACTTGAAGAAAACAAAAACGCTAAAGTACAATAATAAATATAAGCAAAAGTGGGGTCGTTCCGCATATACCGCCGTTATGGTATTTTTATTTTAATCTTTCCGACCTTATTAAATATAAATACATAGTCAATTTATTTGGTCAAGTCAAACACAGGCATACACGTATATGGAATGTACGGTTCCATGCGGCACGATATTTCAAACGTCAAGAAATAAAGTTAAAGGCGGCTCATACAACCGAAACAACTAAATGCCTTTCAAAACGTTTTTTAACCAAATTGTATTTACGAATAACAACGATAATGCACATTTCTAAAAAATACTTTAATTTAATTTATTTATTTTCTCAAGCTTTCAGTTTTAAATCTCCTGGAAAATGGTGGTACTACCTTCGAGATCATTTTATTCTAAATTAAGAGCTTTTGAAAGAAATCCAGAAAGACAACGGAAGAGATAGAGCTAATGTTGGTTTCATTAGCCCAATCTTCACTGATTTTCTGAAGGACTGTCTACTTTTCTTATCGTGTATACGTTTAGTCTACAGTGTCCCGTTATGATTTCAACAAAGTTAGAAAAGTTTTGACAAGATAGCTGTAGACTGTATTTGGCCAGCTTGTTTCATTTCCTTCATTAGCATTATGTCTTTTAATCCGTACTATTTCCAGTAAAATAGTTAAGGCCAGCCCTACTGTCTGAGGAGATTCTTGTTGTTTCTTCATTATATGGAGCTCTATTATTTTACAGTTTGCTTGTGATTTGATACTGAAATATGGTCATTTAATATACTAAGTAAGACACATGGATGGGCTATGACAATACACTCCAGCTCCAGAGCCAGACTCGGTTCTGGATCCATCTGCAAATATAGAAAGATCAGGCGATTTATTTGGGGACCCATTTATCCACACCTAATATGGATTGCACTCAGAAGAGGTGTCTTCCTTACACTCTTGTCTAGGAAGCTGGTGTGTCGTTGTTTCACTGTTTATTGGTAGTTAGCCTAAGAGATGATCTTAGTGCATTTTCCCCAACAAATCCAAAGATTGCTTCTATGGGTGCTGTGTATTAGCTAGACATGCAAAATGTTCACATGCTCCATTTGTTTTGCTGCAGTAGTCTGTTTGATTTGGGACAACCACACAACAGATCCGTAATAATAATATAATCGACAAGTTGGATCAGATTATTCACATTAAAAAACCCTGGTGAACAGAGGGCCATTGCCATAGTATTATTCACTGCTTCATGGCTATTAAAAGAAGCCCTGTATAAGGGACTAAAAACGTTGAGGAGGCTTAAGAGTTAGAATGTTATACCACGCGCCTTTTTACAGCCAACCTCATCACCACATTATCTTTCATTATACAATAATAGATAAATATACTGATTTTGATAGATTGATAGATTGATAGAGGTCGTGGGTTCGAATCCCACCAGACTGTATGACTGTTTATTTGTGTTTGTCAGTGTGTACTCCTGTAATAGGCCTGTGAAAGGGCATTAAAATAATAATAAAAAAAACATTGCAGACCTAAGCAAAAAACGTTGAACTGTTGAAAGTTTTCGGTTACTACTAATTGTAATTCGTGTTTTATAGAAGTTACACTAATGGCAATTGAGAAAATTTAAGTTTTATAATGTAGTAATCGAAACTTCTCGAATGGGTTATAATGATTAAAATGAAAATTAAGTTTTCGTTAAAAATCGCACCGAATAGATAAATTGCCACTCCGGAAAAGTTTTTGAAGAGGAATTATGTCTAATTTCTTAACCTTAGCGTCGAGATTTTTTCATGTCGATTAACACTGAGTCATGTGTTTTTGCACCCATAGTTTTTAGTTTATGTTGCTTACAATGTATATTAAAATATAAAGCCGTTTTTAAGGGGTAATAAATTATGAACAAAAAACATTATAAAACAAGAAGCAATTCTGTTTATGATTTAGGGAGTTGCGCTCAGGCATATAGAGAGAGATAAGCAAGGTGAAATTTTTATCGAACAAAAATTGAATTTTATTTACACTGCCATAATAATATCTCATTGCGAATAAAGGCAGCTGGTGTGTCTTGGACCTAATCCCCGCCGTTTCGGGCCAAATCCCCATTTGCATTCCACCGTGGAGCCGTAGAACATGTGCAATGAAAAATTCAACCTTACTTCTCTCTCCTCTCTTTTAGCATTTCTGACAAGTCCCGCACGGCTGCATTTTGCTTCCGATAAATCCGTCTCATTTAAATTTCAAATCATCTATTATCTAAAGGGATTGCTGTAAAATGATCCAGGTGTATTGAGCAGACATTCTGCCTGGACCTTAACCTCTTCAATACATTTTTTAAAACCCTTACTTAATTCATGATGGTTAAGATGCTATTACTTGAAAAAGAACAACTTTAGTAATATGTTACAACAAATATTAGAAATATTCTCCAACACCAAAACAAAACACAAAGTGAACTTGAGTTACACTTTGCTTCTGAAGCTTCTGTTTTGTTGTGGTGTGGTGGAAATATTTCTAATATTCGTTTAAGATGCTATGTTTAGAATTTTAACTCATGAATTACAGCTTCGTAAAAATGTGAAAAATAAATTCAGTTTTACTTGTTCTCTTTTAGCCCATGAACGTGCTTCCCGCAATTTAAAAACAAACTACATCTTCTTGTCAGTGGTTTCACCCCTTTCAACTTAAAATTAAGGAATTTACCTTGCTTATCTCTTCCGCCATCCTGTCTAAGGACGATATTTCTGCTGTCCTCCCGTCTCCAAAGTACAGTCGGTTCTGGCACGCCGGTAGCGTGGCATCTAAGTCTGATTGTCCCTCCTTCCACTGCTACCCCTGTACCCTCGGCCGATTCATTATCATTTAATATGTCCGGAGGTATGACCACTTCTAAATTACCCATCTGAAACAGTTTTGTAACTCGTTTATATCAATTAAAATAAGGAAGATAAATATTCATTAACTATGAGTCATATTGTTAATTGTTTTTAATTACAAACATAATATTGCAGAAAGTATATTGGAAGAATTATACAAGCATTGATTTAAAATATATTTCGTATCAAAATGTCCGTAATAAAATTGAATTATACCTGACTTCTCATAGGATCGGTGTTAATTTGGCACATGTAAGTTCCAGAGTCATTTTTCTGAACATTGGAGACATGCAGTTTCCACGTGTTGTGCCCGTTATGTGTGACTGAAAGTCGAGGATTTTGTGCCACCATATGAGTGTGGATTGCCAATATGGCTTTAGTATCTGATTTTATCCAAGCTACCTGGAATAAGAAACATTTTATTATTATTATTATTATTATATTCATTTTGTATATATGTGTTTATAGTTTATAGAGTATAGTGTATAGTGTAAATGACAAACCAATATTAATTTTATTTTAGCGTTTAATTTGCATTGCATTGATATATAAATATATATATCAGAAACAATAGGTTTTCTACTTTACGCCAGTAGTAGGCAACCAATATAACCAAGACTGAAATGCCTTCCATCTCGCCACAAAGCGCGTCTCCCACCAATACTGACAGACAGACAGTTTCGACCTGTTGGGTCTCATCAGTGTCAGGCAGTCGGTGACCAGGACAGCGGCGAGATGTATCGGCAAGTCAGTCTGAGACATCTACCGACTAAAGACGTGGCACAATGCACAATGCGTTACCGGATAGACTAAACGATTGGTATGAGTTTTTTTCTGAAGCAGCCTGTTTGAATTTATAAAAAAACATTCATTTAAATAATAATAATAAAAAACTAATAAAAGCTATAATCATTAAGAATGGATAAATGATTGGTGTGTGTTTTTATTCTCTGTATTCGTTCTGATTAAATTTTGTGAATTGATTTGTGCCTTTGCTCATCTAGTTTTCAATATAATTTTATTTGGGCGATATTTGGCGGGAACTCCGTCAAATTTCTTTTTGTGCAGAAGTGATTTTATTAGGGACAGCGAGTCGGTTTTTGAAAGTAGTACGTCTCGCAAACTCAATAACCGAGAGTTGCACTTCTGATTGGCTCTTTTTGTGTTACCTAAGGGGATACTTTCACAATGCAATCAAACCGTATCTTCTCACTGTAATAACTTATAAAGGATATATATTTTCGAAGGCGACATCCTTAAAATAATAAAGAAAAAATCCCCAAACGCAATTTCTCATTCAATTCAAACATTCATTGGTACCATTTTTAAAACCCAAATATGGAATTCCAATCAAATTATTTAATATTGCTGATGAATTGGTTTAACCTACAGGATCAAATTGATGGGAAGGGAGTAAAGTTGAGTCGGAATTTTCGTTGCTAAAATTGTTAAAGGTCTAGCGGTGTTATTTGTCTTTCTCAAAAAGGGAAGTGGTGTAGCTTAAAGGGAAGTTTATATCGACTTGGAAAGCAATTTGACAGCTAAATATTTAGTGCATAGACTGCGGCATTGTCATTGTCAGTTCGGATCGTGAGCAATATGTTAAGCACGCTGTAACAGATACCTTCCTCTTTTTTCCCCATTTCTTTCCCGTCCCTTCTTTCCAACTATGGGTCATTCTTACTACAAACTTCAGCTTAGTTTTTACTCCTAAATCCTTTTCTTTTTTAAGAAATCTATGAAATGGTAATTAAATGAAATTTTATTTTATAAAAGTTTTAAAAGGTAGGTATACGGAGAAAAGGAAACAGAACCATTAATGCAGTCAATATACTATTTGAAATCATACAATTTCTAATAAAACTTCACGGATTACTTCAACAACAAAAAACGACTTTCGTTTATTAAATAGTGAAATACAACTGGCACCATAAATGTATTTTTGTAATTTAGGTTGTAAAACTGATGAGCATATCCCCGAAAAGACCCATTTAGGTGATTATGGTCTTTAACACTTATATAGCCCTCTACTTTTATGTTGTTGATATTTAGATGTTTTTGTAGGATTTTCATTATCATTAATCGGTAAAAAAACACCCTCATACATACATAGCAAATGACACTTTTTCTTTAAATTTTGTATTAAAAATAACAAAGAATAACCCGTATTAAGGTTCCTTCCAAACATCACGTATTTTCTGTATTGACTACCTCAACATAACATAATAAATTATGGTGTGTCAATTTAACACTCAATTTTTCAGTACTTTGTTTCCTGTCAAAATCATGGAGGTGAAAAATTCTCTTTACCCAAATAAATATAAAACATATTGTTTAATAAATACAGGGTCGTTTCTTTATTTTTTTAAATTTTACAATCACTGCTCATGTTATTTTAATGTATTTTTACGTTTGATAAAAAAGTTTATTTGAAAAAATATTTAAACTATGTATTTTGCCTGTCTAGTCCTGTTCCACAAATGAAAAGATAATAAATGTACTTTATGACAGCCTTCGTATTATAAATAATGTATCGCAGATTAAAACAATACAGCATATGCGATTGTCTGGCTGGTAAATATCGATTTCCAAAGTGACACAGGGGTGTAATAATATGTGCCAGTGTAACGCGGTTTTGGAAATTATCTAATTTAAAGCGAGCAACCCCAGTTGGTGTAATGCACTCTCTCGTTTACTACACTTTTTCATGCATTTACCTTTTGGGCAGAAAGGGTCGTTTTATTTTTTCTTTCAGGAAAAAAGAGCCGCTTTTAATTAAAACATTTGATATAGCATGTTTAATTAAAATTAATCCGTTTATATTTTGTATCGGGTTTTTTTGTACTCCTACGTGTTCTAGTTATTAGTGTATTTTGTAATTTTACTAGTACAAACGCTCAAATATTTATTAGCATTATTATTATTTTTTGAAGGTGGATAAAAAATCCCTGGTGGGATTCGAACCCACGACCTCCGGCTTGTAGTCAGCAGCACTAACCACTAGTCCACCGTCGTTAGTTTTAAAAATATTTTACATAATCTTTTATTTTGGATTACCATACCTACAAATATTTCTATAACAACATTAAGACTAATAAACGTAATTTTATTCTAAACCACATGTTAATAAACAAAACAAAAATCCAATTGAATTATCTTAAAAAAGAAGGGAATTGAAACGTTTAATTAGACAAAAGATTTACAATCTGTTTACAAGTTAACGTTTTATTGAATTATTAAAGAAGCAGAGACTCAACAGGTGGTAAATTTATTCCAATTACCTTTTGTGTAAGTAAACGACTTCACCAACCATTTTAAAGAAAGTTTCCTTGACAATATTGTATGTTTCGTTCTATTTATCGTAACAAAGAATTTTGATAAAAGTTTAAAGATGATTTGCAAATTATTGAAACCTCAGTACCTATAAATTGGGAAAAAGTGAGGTTAAATCCCTTGTCAGATGTCAAATGTTTAACAAATAAAATTATTCTGTGTTCGTCGTATATAAAGTTCTTTTTAAAAACTAGTTTTTATCAAACTTGATACATAATATACACTATTATCTACTCCTAGATTGACAAGCTGTTACCTTTATTATAGATATCAAATTTTAAATAAATAAAATTGGCTTTAATTTTTTTTGTGTTCGTCGTAGATAAAGTATAGTATAAAACTCGTTTATAAACTATTCTAGACACTCATTTTTATTATACACTCGCTTGCAATTTTAAAAAGTAAGGTAAAACCGTTTGACATATGTCATATTGGGAAAAGAGTAAGGTTAAACTTGTCTGACAGATGTCAGATTGGTATAAAGTGAGGTTAAAACCGCAGTCAAATGAAATAATATTAAAACAATACATTGATATTTTACTTTGATTGAACATAGTATATCATGTTTTAAATAAAGTAATATAATATAAAAAATCAATCCACAACAAAAAATAAAATGTTTTTAATCGCATCTAATGGCCGTGCACATTTGAATTTAATAAAAAATAATTTACATTCTTTGTTACAATATCCAGCAACTAATTCAAATAAATTAAACTGAAGCTTAAAATTTATTTTTTAAATGAATGAGCATTTCAAAACGAATCTAGTTTATTTTTAATTACATTGTGGACGGTGAAAAAACGATATTTAATATTGCTGTAAACAGGCTTATAACTTTTGAATTTGACAGGTCATAGATTATACGCGCATGCGTATACCTGAACTTTCTAAAAGTTTATTATTGTCGAAACTAATTATTTTAGGATTTCATTTTTTACAGTTAATAAAAGTTTGATGTGCAAAAATATTCTTTACAGGTAAGTCAATTTCTTTCAAAATGTTATTCAGGAATGTGGACATCAAACCGGTTTATGCTGGAGTTTGAGGTTAAATTCTACGTAAACATTTACTATACACAATATATATAAAAATCTCCTTTTCTGGAGCCACCTATTCAGGTATAGAAACAGACAATAGTCGTATATATAACATAAGGACTATTGTCTGTTTCTATACCTGATGAGGTGGCTCCAGAAAAGGAGAAGATGTTTGAATGAAAACTGAATCATATTTTGACTGGTTTGGGAAAGAGTTTCTTTTGTAGCTTACCTTATAAGAAGATAGGTGGTTAACGACACAGGTGAAATACACGTCCCTGTTTTGGGTGACAGTGTGATTTTCTAGAGGGGCCAAAAATTCTGGTTCCGGCTCTGCTAGCTGTCCTGTAAGAATAAAACAAAAGGGCTGAATATTAAACTAAGGCTAAATTTACATTAAATCTAATGGTCTGATCTGGATCGCCTCTGTTGGCTTACCAACCCAGCATATAAGCTCAGGGTCGAAACAGCTGTCTGTCGGTATTTGAAGTTGGTGGAACGCACTCAAAACATAAAAATTTGGCGAGGTGTAGGTTCAATATTTTCTTATGATCTGGATTACTTCGTGATTAACCTATATCATGCTTGTTTTACTTTCAAAAATTATCAAAAATAAAATGTAAAAAAGCTTTCATGGAAATTGTAGCGAGAGTTGTATAAATTGTTCAAATAAGCGGCAAATTTATTTAATGTATTTGAACAATAATAATGTGGCAAGAGTTTGAATCGATTTCAAATATAAGGAGGGCGTTAATCCATGTTATTTCTTAAAGGTATTATCATTTTAGCGGAAAGTATATATTTTCTTTCGGTATTTATTACAGCCCGTCTTTTCCCACGCTATATGTCCCTTTATATAATCGAAAGGAAATGGAAAAATCATTTTAAGAACGAACAATAAATTGGCTTTAAAGATATTTGTGGTTATTTGTTTTATAGTATTCAATTGCCTGGGATCTTTATAATTTCTGATAATGTTAACATTCGTTTTATTTATCGTTATTCAATAAAAAAAACGAGGGCCAGCTGAGAAGATCTTAATTCCAAAACACCACAAAAAAGTTGACAAATACTTTTAAAGGTTGAAGGTGATTTTTTTTGCATTCAACAATGTTTCGCAAATTATGGCGCAGTCGTATGGATCACACACAGTTATTGCATTAAGATATTGTTAAACCTAAAATGACCAAACATCTGAATCATGTTTGCATAATGTTAAACAGTAACATTAACTTTCTAGGGTCTAAGCTTAAGAAGAAGGTTGCAATGTTGCTCTATTGAATGCAATAAAATAGTTTCCAACTTTTCGGCTAAAAAAGTAGGGATAAATCGCTGCCCACCCTTTATGGGCTTTGTTTACTTCCCTTTACACTGCTTGTAGATCCAGAACATCTAAACGTATAATAAGCAGGATTCCAATAGGAATCAGTTTAATTTGCTAAATGTGACATTTAAAGTGTTTTGAAATTCTTAAGGCATTTTGTGTGCAGGACACGTTCGCGGGCCGTTTTCAGCACCAACGAAAGATGGAGGCGCATCCAGCGAATATCTTTTAGTTTCACTTCACTTATCGCGTTGCCAACTTCATGGCACTTGAGGGTGAATATCAAAGAAGGATTTTCCCAGAATATCATTTTATGATTTTAATGTTTTAGAATTTCTGGTTTTCATTGATTCTATAAAGAATCGACTGACGGTATATCTTGTATCAAAGCTCTAAGTTAAGAGTAGAAGCTACCTGCTTTTCCACCCTTTCACTTTAAATCAGCATTTCGATGATTGACATTAAGAGTTGTTTTGAAAAAGGTAACTGATCCATTTTGTGTGCTTATGGAAAAATCAATTTTTACAAAAATGGCAACAAAACCCATTAATGTTTTAGATGACGTTCATGCAGATCGATTCTTGAGAATGTATTGTAAAAGCGGCTTATGAAATTTTTTCCAGGCATCATCATCTTATCTTTCTTTCGCTGTAATGAAACCTTGATCCTTTTACAATGAAATTCTGTTTTGTGTCCTTTTTTTCCTATCTAAAAAAGCATTGTTTTGTTGCACGTTACAATTATCTTACACTCAAGTACATAATCTAACCCGACACATTTTAACCCTACACCAAATTAATTGACTGACCCTTAAGCAAGATAAATTGTTATTTCAGGGAATTACATGTAATTTAATTATGCTGTTTTTTATTCTAAAAAGACTTTTATATAAAAACAATGTGAAGGACGATTTTTTTAATCTTTTTTATCTACAGGGGGACTAAACAGTAATTAGTAAATCATAGAAAATAATAGTAATTGTAGGGTATAAAATTAAAGAGAGAGAAAAATAAGATGATGGAAAATGAGTGGATTCAACAAAAGAACTAATATCTCAAGCTAGTGTATTTGTCTGGCTTATGTAGTTGCCGGTTAAAAAGGAAATTTAAGACATCGACCATAAGACCCAATTAAGATTTAGTTGGGAAAAAGAAACAGGGTGGATTTTTGTAAAGTATAATAATTTTCGACACATTAAACTGGGCTTGGGTAGTGGAATTTTCTACTCTAGTTGCAATGGGGGCCCTTTTCCGTAAGCGGGCTTCGGTCTTAAGCCCCGGCTAATCTCAGATTAGCAATGTCGGAACTACTACAATACTAATTTGTTGATTCTGCACCAACGACAGTGACTAACTATCGAAATTGCTCCCATGTGTTGTCTTTTTTGTATTGGGCTCTAAATGGTAAACGAACCTAAAAGGTAAATGACAAAAGGCGAAATGCCATTACGCGTGGTTTACTAACATGTAACAAAACTTTACAAGGGCGACTCCAAAAGTTCCAAATATTCTACATATTGCCAAGCCAGAAATGTTACATAGTTATAATTTTTATGACGGAGTTGTTCTAATTTGTCAACTTAATGGTAATGTTCTTAATGTATACCCTGTATAAATAAATACATTAATGTAAACACTTTATTTGAATAGAAACAATGCGGTGAAAATCGGATATTTTTATATTTTATCTAATATTCTAATAAGGTCTTTGCAGGAAGAAAATATGGAAAGAGACGCCGTGTGCGGTATGACCAAGTTAGTCCTGGACGTTCAGAAGTTCCACTCACGCTCTATCGTGACACTATCCAAATTCATTGCAGATTTTCAGCTTGTCGCGTCTGCAAGGAGAATGGGAAAAAGGCTTGAGTGCTGCACCATTCTCTAGAAATGATGATAGAGTTAAAGAAATAATAGGGATTTGCTTTTTCTCCAATTCCGAAATCAATACAGCTTTTCTCAACTAAACTTGCATCTACTTCCAAAGATATATATATATATATATATATATATATATATATATATATATATATATATAAAAGGGAACGAATATTTCAAAATAACCTAGCTTCAATTATTTTTACACATCCTTATTTAAATAAGTGTTATAATAGTATATTAAAGAACTAATGTCATAAGACGCGGACATGATACGAGGTGTGTTCAGAAAATAACGGGAATTGTTAAATATCGCGGGTTCGGTGGGTCCGGTTGTCATAAAATTTTCTTTATTATGTTGGTATACATGCCCCCGAAGTATGATAAAAACTTTAGCTGTTTTCATTGTTTACTTTGTCTGTGGCAGCCGCTCAGGTTAGACGTGTTTTATGAGCTCGGCGATTTTTCGTTCGTTAAAAGAAATGGATCAAAGAATTTGTATCCAATTTTGCTTAAAAAATTAAATAAATTTTGTGAAATGTTAACAAAGACCTATAGTGAGTCTGCTATAAGTAAAACAAGAGTTTACAAGTGGTTTAAGAGTTTCCAAGATGGCCGTGAATACGTTAAAGATGACGAACGCCCCGAACGCACAAGCACATTAACAACCGATAAAAACATGGAAAAAGTGGAAGAAATGGTTATAAACCATCAGAGAAGTCGCTGATGATGTTGGTATATCGATTGGCTCATCCCATGAAATTTTTTCGAATGTTTTGGGTATGAAACGCGTGGCAGCAAAACTTGTTCTAAAATTGTTAAATTTTGAACAAAATTTTTGGCCAAAAACAATACTGTAATGATGCCCCAGCCTCCATATTCGCCAGACATGCCTCTGTCTGACTTTTTCCTATTCCCAAAAATAAAGAGAACCTTAAAGGGCCGTCGTTTTGCAAGCATAGATGACATTAAAAGCGCATCGCTGAAAGAACTAAAGGCTATCCCAAAGATCGAGTTTTAGAAGTGTTTCGAGTATTGGAAGAAGAGCTGGCACATGTGCATAATATCCAATGGGGACTATTTTAAAGGCGACAACATTAATGTAGACGAATAAATAAATATTTGTTTCAAAAAACGAAAATTCCCGATATTTTCTGAACACACCTCGTACCTTACCTCACCTTTAGGTGACATTGTAGCTCTTCCAATAAAAAAAGGATTCTTGGTGCACCCTGTATAATAAGGGCTAGCTAAAATGATGAAATGAAGTTCGTGAAAATGGTGTGGTAATATTAATCCTAATTTAGAGTTTGGCAAGTATAAATTCTACTAAAATTTAAATGATAAAGGGCCCATAAAAATATATTAAGTTTCCTAAACTGTAAAGTATACATTGTACAAAGCTAATTTTCTCCGAATTCTCAATTATTTTTATGATTAAATTTTTAAACTACTTATATTAAATGCAATTTTCTAATAAAATATGGGAAACCAACTTTCTAACAAAGGACAATATTTCATGAAAAATAATCAAATTTTCAAGAGTTAAATTAGTAAATAAGCGAATAGTATAAGTCTGAAATTTTTAAAATTAAAGTGTCTCATAATTTTCCAAACGCCACCTTACAATGTAATCTCAAAAAGTTAAAGGAAGAATTTGACTGCAAGGCAAGTAATATGCAAAGCCCAAGCAAAATGTATTTACAAAATTTGAAGAATTTATCTATCAAAATAACAGGAATTTCAAATATCCCGATTATGATAATGAAAACATTAAGGTTAGCCAACAAGTTTACATTTAATCCCTCCAAGCTATACTCCCAAATATTTAAGTAACGAATTTCCTTTATGTACACCAAGAAGTTATTTTAAACTCACCTACAAACTATTTTACTAAAATAAAACTGAAATTTTACAAGCAAGATAAATATTTAGTAGGTTCATATTTTGGATGAATTGTGAGCCATTTTGGTATTCACAGGGTGTCCCATAATTACCATTCAAGATGGAAAGTGAAGTTTTAGAAATTGATGGTAAGATGTTAAGATGATAATATATGAAAAATTTCCATGAGGATAGATAGGAAATGGGGTTTCTCGACCTATGTTTATAATTAGCATACAATACTTTATACAAGCTATAATGGC